TGGTTACTTAACAGATGAATTTAATAGTAAAATATATTTACTGAAGGAGTGGGTTATTTAACCTTTCAACACCCAGTAACTCTGGACTGTGAAGTCTTTGCTCTGTGAGAGGCTGCTTCACCCTGTCCCGGAGCTGCAAGTGGAAGCATGGGCTGGAGGTCACGGGCAGGGAGGGCCAGTGAGTTGAGGAGGTAGGGAGGACGGGACATAAGGGGACCTCCGATCGAGAGCCAAATTGCTGGGTATCCACAAGTCCTCCAGGCTTTATGAACAAGGCTCTGAAACTGCCATCTTACCAGAGCAGAAGCCTTGAAGAGGCAGTGGGAACACCAGCCACCGTACCCTGATTTGCCTGTGCAAATCAAACAGAGCAACATCTTACATTGATCAAAGTTGATTGCTTAAGGCCACAAAAACTGACACAGAGAATTAGCTGCTGAAACCACCTGTCACTGCTTATACTGTTTGCTGGCAGCTAGGGACAAAAATAGCCTCTCTTCATGACACAGTGTCTGTCTGATGCCTCTCTGCATCGCCTTGCTCGCTGCAGGGCCTGACTCTGTGCTGTGGCTCTGGCTGGTCACTCAGGCAGACAGGGGCCCCGTGCCTGTCCTCACGCTGCAAGCTTGCTCCTGTCCTCAAATGGGATCGTGTGAAGCCAGAAAAGATGAGCAATGCTGAGTTTCCTACTGCTGCCCAACAGCCTCTCAGCCAGTACCAGCACCTCTCTTATTTTCCAAGATTTCTGTTGCTGATCAAAAAAAAACACTTGTGAAGACATGTTTACAGTTTCCTCTGCCAGCACAGAGCTTTCTATCTGATGGGTAAAACCAAGGTAACATTAAAAAAACTAGAGACAAAAGAAGAAAGGGCCTTTTGGCTCAGTCTAAGTCTCACCTGCTCTACCAGATTTCTTGGTGGCAAAATAAGTAATTTCCTTCTGCTGTGAAAAGAGTTTCTTTTCCTCAGGACTTGGATACTTGTTAATATCTAAACCAGCTCCATCACTTGCTCTCCTCTTGTCAGTGAAGACCATCTAATTTTGCACTTAGGCTTGTATCTTCCAGTGCCTTGCACATCCTTTTTTCTTCATGTGCAATGGGTTGATGGTAAAAGCCTCTACAATAAGACTTGGCTAATTCTGGGCCACTGCTGAGTGATGCATGTGATGTCACTCTGTGCTGGGGCATCATTTGGCTTGTTCAGCTTCTCTGAACCATGAAGGCCTTTGAACATAAATGAAGACATCATCTGGAGATGAAAATATGAAAACAGGTGAAGGTGGATGGGAGCTTTTCTTCCAGGCCCCTGCACAACCACAGACAAGTCGTATCCTTGCCTTGTCTCACTTCCCTCCGCTGTAGTTAAAATCAAGCTGATCCCCTATCATGGAGGGAGAGAAGTGGACAGTGTAGGATCAGTGATTCATCTGATTTTTATGAAGAAGTCTGCGATTTTAAGGTGTATTTTATTAGGGCAGGACCAAAGCATTCTGTGACTTCATGGTTGCCAGACCTTTCGTAACAAGACAGGTGAGGACAGTGAGTAGGTCTGTGCCCTGCCCTTGCAGTGTCTCCAAGTTGCCAACAGCTGGAGCCATCCAGCAGGACAGAGATCTTGAAAATGCAAACCTGCCCTTTCCCCAAAGACGGAGCAGGTCTGCGTGCTGCAGTAACTCATCTCAGCAAGGGTGCATGGAGACAGCTGCCATGGAGCCTGCCAGTGCTCTTCTCTCAGGCTGGTCCCCTCTCTCTGCCTAGTGCCTCTAGTTCTGCCTTCTTTGCTATTCAGAAATACCTAAGGCCCAGAAAGCAGCCAAAACCGAGCAGCTTAACTGCTGACCAGGCTCATGGGAAAGAGGACAGCCCAGCAGCAAAGCAGGAGTCCCCCTGGCAGCACTGAGCCGTGCCCTGAGGAACCTCACAGGCAGCACTTCTTGGGGAGAGAGGGGAAAATATCCAGCGCTAAGCTTTGAAAATGTGCTTTTGCAATGGTTCAGTAAATTACTTAGGGGTATGATATAGAGGTCAGTGAGCGGAGAGCTGTGTTAGTCACGTAGCTGCTGTGCTGCTGAACAAAATGAAAGTGCCTAGATAGCTGAAAGAGATAGAAAGGTCAGTATGTGCTTGTGATATCGCAGTGCAATTGATAAATAGGCATGTACTGGTGATAAGATAGGCTTATTGGTGATAAGATAGGTTGGAATGAGATAGATGCGCATCGGTGATATGATGGAGTGTTACATAGTGTTGATCAGACATGATTACTGATACTTTATCATGTCTCATGTTATCACTGCAGGTGCTTAGTTAGAAGATGAAATTCATCTTTTCCCTTGCAAGATGGAGAGCGTAAGAATCAGAAGAGCTTTAAAGATTCAGGTAAAACAGAGGGAAATGGGGGGAGTGGGGAGAAGGAGGTAAGGAGAGGTCAGTAAGAAAAGAGAGGATTTGAGGAAGTTTGTGGGAGAGCAGAAGCAGCCATAGGGCACTGAGCTCTGAGTCTGTGCTAACTCTGTGCCTATGTCTGTGCCTATGCCTTTATCTTATCAGTGACACAGCTCTTGCTTGAACACCCAGTGCCTCCGGGATCAGTCAACAAAGTATTTCAATATTTGGCGAGGAGAGAGGACAGAGCTGAATATATCCATGCTGTGGATGGGGAAGAGGAGGGACTGTTCCGGTCTGCAGGGCCGTTGCACTGTGGGATCCAGAGATGTGTCTTACAGAGGGGGCTGAGCCCCTTCTGCAATGGCAGACTGGGGATGCCCAGGAGGGAGGCAGTGCCTGAAGTCAAAGGAGATTCCCCTCGGGGGTGACTGTCAGACCTTGCGCATGCCAAAAGCAGGAGTCACAAAGATCCAGGAGTCACAGAGCCCTGTGACTTCAGGTCCTGGTTGTCTCACTCCCTTTTTTCCCCCACAGCAACTCCTGACATTTTGTGATGCTCTTGGAACAGCCAGAGCAACATCCACAGCCTAGATGGCTTTCCAGAGGAGAAGCCCCTGCCCCTCACTCGTGTGGCATGATCTCGAGGGATTTACATTCTGTCTGTCAGGGTGTGTGCACACACACTTGCTTGAAATTGTCTCCAACTAAACCAGAAGCTCCTCTGGGGATATGACTTCTCTGGTACTTTCCTTCCCCATTTGAAAAAATACCAGCAACAAGCTAGCTGAAAATTTAAAATGAGAAATCATTTCAAACCGGAAAATGGATTTGTTTCGAAAGAAAAGTCTAAACAAAATGTTTTGGCAGTGGTTTTCAAGCAGTAAGCACATCAAACCTTCTCTTTCCCAGCAAAATATCTGCTTTCTCTGGGAGGAAAACATGACACAGGAGATAATTTTTTTTTTTTTTTTTTGGTCTCTGCCACTAACTCACTGAACAAACAGGAACAAGCCACTTTCCCCTCTGATACCTCTGTTTTCCCCTCTACTGGTAGGGATAATATGTCCATAGTTCTCAAGCATACAGGACAATTAGAGGGAGAAAATGCCTTGGCGTGTAAATAGTTGGTATTGCCAGAGGCTGTAGTCTAAGCAAGGAGAGGGGAACACTTGTTTTTCACCAGACCTAAGTTCTCTGAGTGCTTAAACAGGCTGCACGGAGAGGGCAATTTAGGCCTCATAGCTGAATGCTCCCCAGGAACCGTTGTCTTCAGATCAAATCCACCTCCCATTAAGGTTTTAGATAAGGGCTGTGCCCTGGCCCGGGCTGTAGCTGTTTATTTTACCTCCAGGACAAGGTACTCTGTGTGAGCTACTGTGTGGCTTTCGGATAACCAGAAGATGGTGAGAGATAAGGTTTTCTATTCACTGTATCTCAGGGCTCTGATCTTCTGCTTCCCCCACTTCCCCAGCCTTCACAACCACCCTGTTCTCTGCAACAGTGCAGACCACAGTCCCCCCAACATGGGTAATCCAGGGGCAGGGGTAGACCAGTACAAGCCTTAATAGGTGGGTTTTCACGGTGGACTCAGCTGAGCTGCTGTATATGCCAGTAGCTGCAAGAAAGCTGCAAGAAAGCTCTAGCTCTGCGGTAAAGCCAGCCCAAGGGTGACCAGGTTGGTGACTCTGCAGGGTTATGGAGAGCACCAAGGAGGGAAACCCTGGCCTAGTGGAGGGAAATTACAATTATTTTCTTGTTAGCTTGAAGCAGTTGCAAACATTTATGGTAGTTCAATAGTCTGAGTAATAGGTATGTTAAAAATATAGAATACTTTATTTACAGGGTGATCAGTTTTCAGGCTTGAAAAGCAAAATGTTCATTTCAGTAGCACAGAGGGGCCACATGGGACCCAGGAGGTGAGCAATGGGTCCTGGGAATTTAGTTGTTTCAGGAGTTACAACCAGCTTGGAGGGCTGTAGCCATGCAGGGGGCATATACACTGTGCTCTGCGCTGAACAGGCACATGACAGTGCCCTGGGGTGTAAGAGCTGTGGCTGGCAGGGTGCGAACAGGACAAAGCAGTGGCACCGTGCAGCTCTGCCCCACTGCTCCTCCCCGTCTCTGCTGGGAGCGAGCAGCACCAGCTGCTTCTTGCCCTAAGCCAAGGGGAAGGGGACTTGATGGCTCCCTGTCCTGGGTCCTGCCCCATGCAAACCTCACCAGAAATGTGTACTTCATGGTTTCCTGTGAAATAATTGTTTTTTAAGGGATCTGGAAAAATCCAGGTCTGCTGGAGCCAACATAGTTCATCCTTAGTGAGCCTGGTAGGCATTAAGCTCTGAGGTCCTGGGATAGTTTTGGAAGTGGGTAAGAAGGAACTATAATACTGTCTGTACTGTCCTGTGCTGGGTCAGGCTGGAGATGTAAGTCGTGGCTGGCTGTTTGGAGACATGAGGCACAGCTGAGTGCCCTTATCTGCTGTGACAGCATCGTCGCCCAGGTTCTTAGTTCTGGAACTACTTGAGAAACAAAACTGGCATTTGAGAGATTAAAGCAAAAATTCGCAGAGAGCCTTTCCAGGTCCCATGTGGGAAAGGTGTGTGTTGAGTAGAGAGCGAAACTCAAGGAAGAGTTGCTTTTGACTTGTCCTCTGTCTCTGGCCCATTTTCTGTCTTGGCAGCAATACTGTAGTAGTAGGAGCGGATTGTGTTTTCCACAGAAATAAATCCTGGACGCTCTTCCCATCTGCAAGGGCAGAAAGGAACAAATAGAGTCAACAGAAGGACAAAAGTGGACTGTGCAACCAAGCACAGAAGAACTTGGGGAAGAACAGGAGCCCAGTTGTACCAGGGCTTAGGAGGGCGGCTGAGACTTTTCTGGGATGGAAAGGGGCAAAGGTGCAGAGGCTCTGACATCTTCCAGGGTTGGTACAGGCAAATGGAGGGGTATGATAATAACGAAATTGGAGCATCATTCATCATAGACCATGGAATGAAGCCAGGGCAGGAGACACCGTTTGCTTTGTGTTGCCACCATCCAGACAGTGTGTGCTCTTCTCATGGACCTGCCACCCAGCAACGAGTTGAACTACTGAAAGCCTTACCTGTAGGTCCAGCATTGCTGCATGAGGGCATAAATCTCTGCCGGGCAGTCTGTGGGGCAGTCCATGCGCTTCCCTTGCTCTATGAAGCTGATGACCTCTGGCCCTTTCATTTTCTAGGATAGTATCAAATGGGAAAATGCTTTAATGTTTTTGGAGCTGGCAGCAGGATTAAAGAGGCAGATGAGAGCTGGGCCTGGGGTAATGCTTTGGATCGATGCACCACACACCCCATACAGTCACTGTTTTCAACCCTGGCACCCAGCAGTGGTGTCTCGCATTGTGGCCAGCCCAGCCTGCAGATCCCATCCCAAGCCTTAGCAGAGCAGTGGCTGAGCAACCGATTTTTCAGCTCTGCAAGTGAGCAGAAGGGTCAAAGAGAAGATCTGCTTAGATTCAAGCCCAGATTAATTTGTTTTGTTTTCTGTTTCTTCTCCCTTAAATGAACACAAAGCTGCAGGATCCAAATAATCTAATTTGTGCCTTTTGTGAAGTGGAAGCAAGCCTGTCTCCTTTCCCCTCTGTTCAACAGTGGGAAGAGCACCCGCTCAAGGAAACAGAAATTGTAGTTTCAGTGTGTGTCAGCCTGTTATAGAGTGAGAGACGAGACTGTGGCATCCATCCGCGGTGGACCCAGCTCTGCCTCACCTTGTACGGTTTCTGCCCGTAGCTGAAGGCCTCCCACATGGTCACGCCATAGCTCCATACATCACTCTTGCTGGAGAACTTGTGATAGAGGATGCACTCTGGGGCATACCATTTCAAGGGCCACTTTCCTGCTGTCCTGGCCTGTAGCAAAGCAAAGAGAAACATTTCCACTCTGAGACACAGACTGCTCTGAGCTGAACTGGAATTCTGCTTTGCTAAATGTTTGTGTCAAATGCAATCCCACGCTGCTGAAAAAAATCCCCTTGCCCTGGGCTGGGAGCTCAAGGCCCCGAGCCCCAAGCCCCGGCCCAGGCCCTGCTGTCTCACTGGCCCTGCTCAGCCATCCCTGGGTGCAGGATGCTGTCCCGCAGTGCAACCTGCTGGGAAGATCAGCCCTGGCTCACTCTTCATCACCTTCTCTTCCCTGCTCTCTGCTCTGGCTCCTCTCTCCTGTCATCCCACTGCACTGCATCCCCCTCACTGCCTCTGCATCCGTCTGAATTTCCTCCTTGCCACACGGAGCTTTGCAAAGCCCGTTTTAATGTGGCAGCAGTGAGGCCAGCCAGAGTGCAGCAGGGGTCCTGGGAAGAGTCCAGACCCCCCTGCCTCTGGGGGTCTCAGCCCCCCAGTTAGGAGTGCTCCTGCTAGCTATCGGGATGCTTCGCTGTGCTTACACTTACCTTGTAGTAGCTGTCATCAGCGCCAAGAGCCTTGGAGAGTCCAAAGTCACTGATCTTGGCATAATGCTGGTTGACCAGCAGGACATTTCTGGCTGCCAGGTCCCTGTGGACAAAGTTTTTTTCCTCCAAGTACTTCATCCCCATGGATACTTGGTGCATCAGCTCCACAATATTGCTGACTGTAATCTCGTCTCTGGGGAAGATGAAAGGACAATGCAGTAATAAAAGATCTGCCATTATTCGCCACACCACAGTCACCTCCAAGCTTTCTAGCTGCAAGAGAGAATGAATGTGGACATCTCCGCTCCAGAAGCATCAGTCCCTATTACCTCACATGAAAAGACATCTCTTTCTGCTATCAGCTTCCCTCCACCTACAAAGCCAGGCTCCCCTGGCAGAAGGGAGTTTGATGAGAAGTGCAGAAAATCAGCCAGCCACATTTTATTCAGTACTCACTTCTTGGAAGACAAGAACTTGTTGAGTGGCCCTCCAGAAGCCATCTCCATGACGAGCATCAGGGACTCTGCCTCGCAGACCCCAATCATGCGGACAATGTAGGGGTTGTCCAGCTGATGCATGATCTGGGCTTCCTTCATCATTTCATCCTTCACTGTTTTCTCATTGTTGCTCTTCAGCACCTTTATGGCCACATCTATCTGCTTCCTGCACAGGGCGCAAGAGGAACACACATGGGATGAATTAAACAGCAGCTGAACTCCCGTATCACAGCCAGGAATGCAAACCACTTCTCATGTGATACTGTTTGATCTCTCAACGGCAATCTCGGTAGCCTGTTTTGGCAGAGCCCTGCACAATACTGGTATCCCAGGCCTGCTAGAAGGCCGAAGAGAAAAGGATCACCTCACCCTTATAAGTGTAGGCCAGTATTTGCCATGTGTAGACCTGAAGGCGCATCATCTCACACAGTGAGATCCACATCGTCATTGCCATTTTTCAAGGGGGAAACTCAGGCACAAAGTGGGCAAAAGCCATCTTTGTGAACTCAACCAATGACAGAGGATCACACGTCTCTTCAGTCTCACTCCTTTGCCCTGACATGGACCAAGATGACCTCAGAAGCATGGACTTGCTCCTCTGAGCCCAGCAAATGCCTTCAGAAGTGGCAGTCTTATGCCCGGGACTGTGCAGTGCAGATTACACTCTCAGGGCAATGAGGCTGTCACTGAAAGTCTGTGGAAAGTCATCACTGACCTTCCAGAGTATCTCTTACATCTCCACCCCATTATCACTTTAGGGTCCATCTAGCTAGAAACAGGATAGCTGGGGACACGTCTGAGCTCAGCCTGGAGCATCCTCCTACCGCTTCCTCGGCATCCTTCAGGGCAGCACTCACTTTCTCATTTTGTAGACTCCTTTCTTGACGCAGCCAAAGTTTCCTGCCCCCAATTCCACTTCATCAATCATCAGGTGGTCCCTCTTCAGGAAAAGCTTCTTATCCTTCAGTTCTTCAGGGTCACTGTATGGGCTCTCGTAGACACTAGTGTCCATGGGTAGCAGGCGTGACTTTCCTCCACCTTCCCGAGAGATACAGTTTTTAATAGCTGTAAACAACATATCCTTCCCCGTCCCTCTCTCCCTCACTGGTTGGGGAGGTTTTCTCTAGTCTCTTGGCCAATTCTCCTTCAAGCTCCAGCATTCAAGCCTCCCTCCTGGGCATCTCCCTTCCTTTCACAACCCATGGTCTCTCCTGTCACAGCTGCTGAAGAAGCCAGGATGGGGAGAGGTGTTTGAGCATTCCCACTCCAGACAGCAGACCCTGCAGGACCTGGGCACGTGCATGACTTCACCCCACTGAAATGTAACTGAATACACTGAGTATTTAGTAGGCAGGATGGAAAATGGGGAATGGGCCAGGGCTTGATTTACTGGGTATGATGGGGAATGGGACAGGGCTTGATTTATTGGGCGCTGGGCGTGGGCAAACAGTTTTGCCCTGAAATGGGTGGGATGCTTCTGGGTGCCTTTGTAAGAAAGGGGCTTTGTAGCACTGCTCTTTGACCAGAAGGTGATACAGATGTGTCAGGTAACCCCCATGGTTCCTGTGGCATCCCCAGGTCCTCTCTTCTCCTGTTAAGAGGAGAGGGCTTTCAAAGATGCTCACCTACAGGCTCTGGCGTGTATCCATCTGCATTGAGAGGCCCAAGGTTTCTCTGGAAAAGAAGTGAGGATAAAGTGGATAATGCAGCCAGGGGAAAGTGCTTCAGTCTGAAATGGGAGAGGAGAGGGATGGGGAGCCTCTGCAGCCCACAGAGCCCCAGCTGGTGACTTCCTTTAAAAGGCCTTGAGGCGGGCACAAGAAATTGCAGTGGTATCACCCCTTCCAGTCCTGGCTGGCAGGTACCCCCACTGCAGCTGCACAGCAGGGATCAGACCCTGGGGAGATTCACTGCCATGGAGCCTGAGTGCAGCATTGCCTTCAGTAACCCAGCCTGCGGGCTGTGCAGGGTGAGGTGCTGAGGCCCCTGTGTTTACCCAAGCAGCGAGGGGCATGCACACAGGGGTGAATTTTGCTCTCTGCCCCCTCTGCTTTCCCTATCCCAAAGTGACAAGTCTCCTGCAGCAGCAGGGGTCATCCCAGCCAAGTCTTTGCAGCTTGTTTTGAGGCAGAGAGCGAAGGGAAGCCCAGAGGCAGCTCAGCTTGCAGCCAGCACACCTGCCTGCCTGAAGAGTGGCCCCGGTGAGCACACACGGACTCTGTAAACAGCCACTGTCCCAAACGCAGACAACAACAAAGTGGTATGGTACGCATTTGTCCAGCACAGCTTTGAATGCCAGTGCTGCTTGCAGCGAAGTGGCTGCAACATGAAAGCCCACCGCAGATTGTGAAAGCTCTCTGAGAAGATGGGTGAATGCTCAGGCCTTTCTTTAGCCTCCACTGGGCTCTGGGATGGGCTGCTTGTATAGCCCAAACTAGCTGGTTTCAACACTGCTCGGCACTCAGAGCGGTGACTGAGCCCAGACGTACCCCGAGGCCAGGGACGCAGAGGGAGCACAAAGACCTGGCCAGAGGCCAGCGGCCAGCAGCAAGGCTGAGTGTTCCCAGAATCCAACCACGTCTTCCTCGCTCCTGCCTGGCAAGGAGGGCAGGGGGGAGAGAGCTCCCCAAGGACAGGCCCACATGTTGCAAGGAGTGCAGTATGAATGGAAACCATTTTCAGCTCTAATGGTAGCTGTGCCCAGCTATTCCTCATCCCCATCCAAGCTGGAAAGGGGACAACATTGCAGCTGGGCTTAATATATTCCATTTGAATGATTGCCTTTTAAAGAAGAGCAGAGTTTGATCAGCAAGCCTGAAACACAATAACATTAAACTACTGAGGTACCAACAAACAGATCCTCCCCAAAACTTACGCTCACAGAGGGGTGGGTTGGTGGAACCGGTGCTGCAGACGCTGTGGAATCAGGAGAGAGAAGTTGTTATTAAGAGTTTGCCTATGCCCCAAGCACCGTCAGAGCATCAGTCCTTGAAGGACTGTGTGGATGGCTGGGTCTGATCCCCTCCCCTACAAAGGCCAGTTTCCACAGCTTTAGCCAAAAAAGGTGTGGAAACAGGCCTGGATGTGGGCGTTATTCCCAGAGCAGCCTTCAGGGGAGGTGCAGGCCCACTGGAGGGCCCTACAGTCTCCATCGGTCCCATGGACTGGCTGAGCTGTACCCCAGACCCCCTGCCTAGGAGAGCAGGGGTCCCACGGGAAGGCTCTGAAGTGACATTTGTGATACTTGGTCCAGGACAAAGTGACCTATGGTTTTGAGTGTTCAGCTCAAGAGACCCACCAGGAGCCAGACTTGCAGGACATGTTGTTTCCTGCTGCCTAAAAAGCAAGTAATTTTTCAGAAGCCGTCTGTTTGGCACCAGAAGTGGCTACTCCATTTGGAGCACTGATTCCCCCCATCTGCTCCTGTCTTTGGGCCACCCTAAGCCAGGCCTAGAGAGTGGCCACTTTCAGCAGACAACATGATGTGAGACTTGCCCAGTTTGCCAGAGGAGAAGAGACCTCACCGTTCCCTCCAGACTGCCAGGGTCTGAGCAAGGTTAGACACGATAAAGGAAACTTGGGTTGGCGCTGCTCAAACTGGCCCCACTCGGTGGTAAACCAAGGCCAAGGATGGCACTGAGAGACATCAGCTCACCTGGCATGTTGGGGTTGGGGCAGGTTTCCCTCAGGTAGAAAATCAGCCCGTCCGGTTTGAGTTTTAGGTACTCCACCAACTGGGAAAGGAATCAGAGGAAAAAGAGATTATTGCGAGGAGAAAATAATCTCTTTTTTTTTTTGCAGGCAATTTGTGTGGCTTATGGTAATGATTTCTTTCAGATTTATGGCAGACAGGGACTTGACTATTTCTTTCTCTCCTCTCCTATCTGTGCACTCAGAGATCTCCTAAAACAAGCGCTTGCATACCTGGATATCTGCCAGAGCTGGGAAGAACTTGGGAAGTTAGATAAGGACCACAGAAAGACAAAAGGAAAATCTCCAGTAGGAGAGCTGGGTAGAGCATTTTCAGTGTAATGTTATTTTTGTCCCAGCCAGAAAGATTTTTAAATTGTGTTGTGTTTCATAAAGCCTGAGAGAAACCTTTTGCTTTCCCAGAGGAACCCCAGGGTTAGCTCTGTGGATCCCGGGCAGTTTTTCACTGCAGCAACCACTGGTTCAAGCACAATGGGGATTTGACTCTGGCTGGAGACAACCAGACCAGCCCCTGGCCACCAGACCGCAGGGGAGACGAGGCTTTCTCTTCCCCTCCTGTCTGGCTCAGATTTCATCTGCAATTGGGAGCCTGGCATGGTTCTGTTTCCATAAAAATGCCCCAAAGTCTTTGTTTTCAATCAAATTCAGAGTGAAAACAGTCCTGGGAATTTAAAAAATTCAGCAAAACAGAGTTACCGTCCCCCCGCCAGCCCTGCCCAGGAGGAAGCACTAGTATCCGTCCCCTGGAGCCGGTCCAAGTTGTGTGCCACGGGGCAGAGCTGGGCTCTGGAGGGACATGCGACTCCCCAGCAGTGCCAAAAGCTGCTGGGCCATGTGTCACATTCCCTAAAAACCCTGCCCCACCCTCACGAGGACTGCTGGGGCATCACAGCCATCTCCACTTCCCAAAGCCCCTGACTCTCAGGGGTGATAGGATGTGTCTCCTGGCACTTGGATCTTCTGTCACGTAAAGATTTTGGCAGCTGGCTTGAGACTTCTGGCCTCCCCTACTCTTTGCACAGAAGTCAGTCACTTGGAAAATAAATTGGCAATCTGCACGCCACAGTTTTGCTGGTCCAGGAGCAGTGTGGGGGACATGCGAGAGGGACAGCCTGGGATGAGCAATCTCATCAGGGCTTGCTGCAGGCAGAGGTCCGAGGTGCACGCTGTGGCTGAATGTGTGATGCTTGCTGAGGGGACGCAAGTGTCATTAGCATAACCATCTCAAGTATCCTGGCTTAAAGCTAGAAATTAAAAGCACTAATCCTCTTGTTTACTTGGAAAGGCACTACACTGGTGTAAAGCATGAGGGCAGTGGTAAAGCCAGCACTATTTTAGAGCTGCTGTGATATCCCAGACTTAGATCTACTTAGCTAGGAGTGCACAGAAATGAATACAATGAGGTGAGCTGTTAGACAGCCAGACCCCAGAGAATGTAAGTGTTTTCTGGAAGGGGCTACAACCACCCATGTACAGTCTTAAAGCCTTTAAACCTCCACATGACCTTTCCTGTCCCTCAAGGCATGGGCAGCTATAACAAGGGAAAAGTGCCTTCGCTGTATTAGGACACCAGTGGTCAGCATCCCACAGTACAGTACCTGCCAGAGCGTGTCGAACTTGGTCCCCTCGGGGATGGAGTACTTGCCAGACTTGTCCTGGTCTATCCGATAGTGATACACTGTTTTGCCGTAGACGAGGGAGAGGGCATAGGCACCATTCTCCTTCCTTTCTCTCAGCCTGGTAGGAAGGAGAACTATTAAAAGCAACTCTAGGTTTTGCCCTGCAAATTATCATGGCTGCAGCGGTGGTGGGTCGCTGGGTGAGCATCCCACTGTTGGAATTGCAACCTTCCTGACACCCCTCTGTGGAGGCTGAGGAGGGACCCTTCACCTTCAGTCTCTTGTCCCTCTCCTCCACCCTCTGCAGCTAATTCTGTCTTTCCCTCACTCTTTCAGGAGATCATTAAATGAAGGGCTGCCTCACCTCAGCAGAGATGCAGAGCAAATGCTTTCTCCTGTATTTTATTGGCCATATGTTGTCTACATGTCAGTGTTAAATGTCTTCACCTACTGAACCCTATATCTCATATCATCTGGTGCATTAACAAGCATACTCTGTGAAGATATCTAAATATAAGACATAAATAAAGCTCAAGATTGGCCCTTCATGGAGGCCAGACACTCTCTGGACAATAATATGTTTGAGGTGTCAGACCCTGTCTTTGAAAGATCTGTAACCACAGTCTGACCATATTCAGCTAAACCTCCTCTCAGGAACTGTCACACGAAACAGATAACTACAGGGTAGTGGAGGTGGGGAAATGGTAAAAAGTAGAGGGGTCACAGCATCTGCCAGGGTTTTGCATACTCACAGGAACTTCCCATCAGGTTGTGCCCCAGAGTAGAGCCTCCGTTCAGCTTCATCCCGGGCGATGCTGCCATGGTACCAGGGCATCCTCTCATGGGCTGTGGTGGCGATGAGCTTCTCCACCTGTGGAGCCTGACTTATGATGGCCTGTTCGAGTGCATCGCCCTGGAAGAGAGTGAGAAATGAGGCCTCCTGCCACTCTGCTGCATTGTTGCATGGCTTCAGCACAGTTTTGGGCAGATGACACAGGAAACTTGGAAGGTTTCGTAACTGAAGTGCTTGTGGCCTTAATCATGCGTACACCAATAGTGAGTTGAATTCTGTTCTGCTGCAGAGCAGGATTTCTTGCTTATTTAAACTGATCCCATCCCTCAAATCCAGCTGAAGTCCATTGACTTGCTGGTGAGGGAAGAGAGAAGGTATCATATTCATATGGGGGACCTTGACGTCAGGCTTGCAGGGTGTCTTTCAGCCTTGCATTCCTGGGAGAGCAGGACCTCTTTCTGGTGCCTCTGCCTTCCTGGCTGCTCACTGTCCCCAAACACTACAACTTGTCAAGAGCAGTGCAGTCTGGAAATCATGTGGGAGACCCTAAGTTAATTTTACTGGCCCCACATATTTTATAAACAACTGTAGTTTTTCGTTTGCCAGTAGGTGGCAATGTCCTTTGTGTTATCTACCAGTGTCCACAGATCAGCTTCAAGGAGAAACCCCATAGATACCTCATTTTGTAAAGCACCTTTGGTCTAAAATAGGCCAAATTTAGAGATCTTTCATGGGAAGGCTCCATGAAGAGAATGCCTGAGCTATCTTCCTGAGAGGACCTGGAAGTGTCTGAGTAGCCACTCTCGAGGTGACAGCAGGTAGAAGGAAATTAATTACGTGGCTGCCAGTGTGACCACTTACAGCGTTTTGCCTTATTCATATATTATATATATTCCAGTCTGCAATAAAATGCAGGAGCCTGTCTGTAGCTATTTTTAAATTTAAATAACAGACAGACCTGATCCAGTACCCAGTACCTCAGTCTCATGGGCAAAACCTCCACTGACTTCAAAGAGCGAGGAAAACCTGAGCAAGAATTTAAGTCTGGTTTCATTACATCTTCAGCACAGTGTTATGGAGGCACAGACACCTCACATGGAGAGTGATGGTCTAACTGCAGCGAGCGTCCCGTGTGCTGCAGAGGAGCAAATGGCACATGGGGAAATGCTTGCAAAGTGGGCAGAGAGCTCCAACGCCCTGCAGAGCAGACACAACACAAGCTGTTCAGAGGAAGAGTCTGAAGGCTTGGAAAGATGTTTAGACCTGTTTCTGAAGAAGAAACTGGAAAAGAGAGAGATTTAAGACTGCTCTTAGTGCCAGCAGCCTCCGAGGAGAAGGACCTGGCTTTACCATGCTGTAAGAGGGGGATGACAGCGACAGAGGAGGTCAGGGCGGCAAGCAGCAGTAAGCCCCCAGGGAGCACTCCTTGCCCAGTCCCACACCACCTTCGGCAATGGCCAGTACCTCTAGTTTCCATGTCTGTCGGACATATTCGCGCACCATATTGTCCCTCATGCTGTCGAAGACACCAGGCTGGGGCTCCACACCACTGGGGCGGTTGCAGGGCTTGCGGAGGGTGCAGCAGAGCCCGTCGGCATCCTTGGAGTAAAACTCACAGAGCTCCTCCGGCCCACAGTGCGCTTTGCCCCCCGCAATGGCATAGGTACCGTTCATCTGGCGCTCAATGGCGTAATGGTAAAACTGCAGGTTGCAGACCATGGAGAGCACATACCCCCCGAGACTGCGCAGGCATTGCCGCAGCAGAAACAGGCCATCCGACATCCCCGCCAGCTTGAGGTGCTCCTCTGCTTCTGACCTGGCAATGCTGCCATAGTAAAAGGGCAGGTGAGCAGCAGCATCTGGCATCTCTGCACGCTTACCGGGACTTACCGGGTCGGCTCACACGTTGCTGGTGCGCAATCTGAAAGAAAGAAGCAAAGTTCTTCACTGACACGTAATTTTGCAAAAAGGTTTAATTGGAATTCAGACTTGTCTGCCTAGAGGTTCTTCAGCCCTCAGCTGACGATCTGTAGTGTCATTTCAAACATCGCATGGAGAGTAGCAGTGGGTGCATGCATATCCCCAGCCAGAGAATTCCAAGGTGATTCCTCTATCCTGCCCTGAATGCAGCTAGAAAGTGTAAGTAAAAATCCATCTGATCTTGATTTAAAGATTTCAAGCAATAGAGAATGCACTGAATCCTCAGTGAATTGTTCCAATGGTTAATTACCGTCCCTATTAAAAATGTGCTTCTTACCTCCATCCCGAAGCTTTTAGCTTTGACTTCCTACCATTTTCTCTCCAGCCCTGTTCACAATAAAAGGAAATTCTTTTGCCTCTCTGAATAAATTAGTTTTGCCATGAGGGTCTATAAGGCCAAAATCTTAAACGGAATAAGATTAAAACATGAGATGGATATTAAATGTCAAAAAAACATTTAGATACACAATTGCACCAAACACAGCAAAAGGAGATAAAGATAAACCCAAGTGCTTCTGGGCAGACATTAACCATCAGTTGACAGACCAAGAAGAAACCTTCCTCTAATTGTCTTCTGAAAAATTTATGGATTTTTTCCCACAATACCTGACTCTGGCTGGTTTCTGGATTTGGCCGATACTCTGATCCCGTTTGGCAGTTCCTATTTCTACACTGTGCACATGCTCCAAAGAAGGCCGGAGCTCAGATGTGGCCAGCCATCACCACAAAGTGAGTTTAATCCCACCGTCTCTGTTGAGCTGCAACGTGCAACTGGAGCCCCCGGTTCAGAACAGCCTAAACCCAGAAATGAACCTACCGCCGTGCTGCTGCAGCACCAGTTCGTGGTGGGAATCCAGCAAGAAATGGCACTTTGTTGACTGCGTCACTGCAGAGCCCCTTCTGCCAAAGAGCTATAGGTCTTGTATCAAATCATCTAAAATCCCACCCACAAAGAGAAGCCAATTTCCGGTGATTAATGGAAACTGTCTCATATTCAAAGGGTCTCATTTGTTCCCTGGAGCCTGATCTTCGATTTTGTCGTTGCACAGATGCTGACCCCAAAAAGATGAGAGTGTTTTTCTCCATCTGCGTTTCCCGCAAATGCGTCACTCGCGTTCAGAGTAAAGAAAACACTGGCTCTTCGGCCAGCACGATGGGTATTTGCCCTGATTCTTCCCAATGTAGCTCTCATTTCTGAATATGATGGGAGAAGTCGCTGCCCAATGGGCTGGGCCCACTGTGCTCTTCCAGAAGTGGCCTCTGCTCTCAGGCAGTGGCTGGAGCTGTGCCTGGGCTGGTGGTCAGCCCTGCTCCGTCTCACCCAGCCTGCCACAGCCCGCTCAGCAGCATAGCGATGGGGCTGCCTCCTGCCAGACTCTGGGACTGCTGGAGCTGGGAAGGGGCTGGCTGGATACGTGCTTTGTATGGGCAGGAACGGGATAGGCGTCAGGAGGAAACTGCTCAGGAGAAACCGTTCTGCTCTGTGCACCCTACTCTGCTCAGCCTACAACAGCAAAGACCCACGGGGAGCTGGATTTATGGCAACCAGACTCTTCTCTACCTATTTGTTTGTTGTCTTCATTAAGCCCAGAAATGGCCCTGATGAGAACAGGAAGGGAGAGCAGGCTCCGCCGAGGAGGAGTTTCAGCCGAGGCAGGAAACCACAACAGGAAGCCGTCAGTGGCGTTTGCAGCTTGGGTACGGGACTAGCGTAAACTGTACCAGGCGCAGCACAAATAAGCCTGAGCTGTGAAGCCCCTTTCATCAAATTCATCAAATGAAGCAAAGTGGGGTCTTGGCAGACCTGCCAGTCTGGGACACAGAAGGCAAATGAAAACACGCTGTAGCTCAAACCCTAACTGGAGTCAGCGCTTGGAACTAAAGCAAACGTCCTGATCCCTTGATGCCTCCAGTTATCAAAGCAGCCCAGACACTGGACAGGCGCATCGCCCAGGTTCAGCTCCTGAGACGAGATGGCTGCCAGGTCTTCCCAACCTCAGCCCTGTCCCAGGGGAGGGCAGGTCCCAGGAAGGTGGGCTGAAGGATGTGAGCAGCCAGGATGGCAGCTCTTGGTTTTAACTGCAGAGTCAGGCTCATGAGTCACGTTCACGAGTCAAGGAAGAGGAAGCGCTGAGTGGGCAGTGGAAGGTCAATGGCCTTCTTCATGTACTGCTAATTTCCACTAGCTACCTGGGATAAACAGTAATTAGGTACAAGGACACTGCACCCAAACATGCTGATTCCCTTTTCTGGAAAGTCCAGAACCAGAACATCACAGCAAATGGAACATGTTTGAGAATTGTTCAGACAGGCGAAAATGAGATGGCAGAAGCCATTGATCACCACCGAGCTCCCACAAAGTTTCCAGCTGCCTACACAGGCGGTTCTGTTATAAACAGACTGTTTTTCTTCTCCAAGCACAGGGCTGCAAGTCAAGAAGGCCTCACGGAGATATGAGAGTGAACCCAGGGATAAGAGGTTGGTTCAGGCTATGCCACCCATTTCATACAAGCCTTGCTGCCACACATGAACACTATTAGAAAATTGCCCTTATTAGAAAAAACTTATAAGTCCCAAGCCATGAGAGAAAGTCCCCCTGGAGTCTGAGAGCAGATTTGAACAGGATGATTTATAGCCTCTCTAAAGTTCTTGCTTTTAAAAAGTTTGTCCTACCATCCTGGCTCTTTCTGTTGCCCATACACCAGCCCAGGGTCTTCTGGCCGTAGCTAAGCTCCTTTTCCAAACTGCAGCTCTGTTCCTCAGCACTGCCTCTGGGTGGACCTGAGCAACCCCGATACCACCTCAACAGACCTGCACAAACCTCACACAACTTTGTTTTCCCGCGCTGTAAAGTGCAGATGAAAATGAGAACCGATTTCACGGATTGTTTTTATGAACATAACAAACTAGTGCCTGGAAGAAGCTGTGCAAGGGACACTACTATTAATTTCAAGTAACAGGACCTGATTTTTCCAGCACCTGCTTAATCTCTGTCCCTTGGGCTGCAGCGACCCAGATGCCAGGTGTTCCTGCTGGCTTCGGGTGCTCCCCCGGGTTAGAAACAGCACTCAGGGAGAACAGCCATAAAACCAGGGCTCCTGTGATAATGGCCATGTTTGCAAGTTGGTGTTACGATGTGAAGATGCACTGAAAAAAGTAACACCCACGTAAAAAGTATTCGGATCTGTGTACCATGACACACAGGAAAGCCAGGCAGGAAGCTATTGAGATGTCAGTCAATCAAATCTATATATAGCTGGCCACTTGCTTTTACTTAGATCAGACAAGAACCGTCAGGAACTGGTTTGATTTTATAATTTCTCAGAACAGCAGAACCACTTTGTGTGAATCCAGAGCCAGTCCCCAAGAGCAGCAGGGTGCACTGATGAAGCCGGAAGAGGCACTGGCAAACTTTAGCATGCTGTTAGGACCATATTTTCTGTATCATAGTCCTGGCAGCAATAATCCCTTATAACACAGCCCTGGCTGGCTGGGCTGTCCCTTTAAGGTGGCTGGGTGAGCCTGGGGTAGAGGATGGACCTGCCCAGGGGAGATCAGGGAGAGAGCTGGGAGGGCTGGAGGGTGGGAAGCATGTGATGGGGAACCAGCCTGCAGGGCTATAAAAGGGGGTCAGGGTGGGGTTGTGTGCTTTGGAGGTTGTGGTAGGAGCTGCTGCTGAGGTTTGTCTTGGCAATGTGGGGAGGGTGTTTTGAACAATTCTCTAAAAGGTGTTTAATTGGGAGTGGGGAAAGAGGTAACTGAAAATAAGATCCGCCATGGTAAATGTGCCTGTGGCATTGCTGAAAGGTCAGGTCAGCCTGTCTGATGGGAACTGGGGTCTCTAAGCTCCTCTGTGGGTCGCTTCTGCTGCCCCCCAGGGCTGAGGGTGTTGGGGGGTTTGAGCTGTGGCACAGGCAGCTGGGGGGGGTTGCTGATGGACAGGGGGAGCAGCCCAGCCTTGGGGGCTTGCCTGCCCTGCAGGCAGGAGCACTGCATGGGTGAAGGCACCTGGGTGGGTGCAGGGCATCAGTTCTCTCCTGAGCTCCTAACTGACTGGTGCTGCCTTCTTGTCTCCTCCTGGTGTGAACTGGCCTCTTTGATCACCTCATGGGAAGGAAATCTCCTGGTGCCTTGCCTAGACCCACCTGCAGTTAATGAAAGAATAAATGTGCTTTCTTATGGTGCTGTTTACAGCCCCTTCTTTTCAGTGCTTTAGGAAAGCACTGAGTAAAGGTTTGTACCCTAGATCATTTCAGCCCCCCTGTTGTTTACTGAGCTCTCCAGGAGTGGCTGCAGGAGCTCTGCTGGTCCCCACGGAGGGGTGGCTGGCTGGAGGAGTGGGGCTCTGCCTGATGAGCAGAGGCTGTGGCAGAGCAAATGTGTAGGCAGGATTTAGAGGTGGGAGCAGGGTGAGGTACAGAGAGGGATGGCAGAAAGGAGAGCGAGCTTCAAGCAGCAGCTGCTTCCTTCTATACCTGCAGAGGTAATGGGCATGTACAGGGACTTTCTGGCTTCCCCAGAGCAGCTATCCCCCATCCCTTCCCCTGGATTCCCTTCTGTTGTTCCTGATTTGATCTGAGAACTAGATTTACAGCGGAGAGCCTGGTCAAAGATGTGAAGGGCTGAAAAATGTCTACAGCGTACAAGTTCCCTTTCTAAGTCGTTCTTCCCAGGAGCAGCTGGCACTGTGCAAGAGGATGAGCTGAAGAGCTGATTCCTGGAGCTCAGGCACGTGTTTTTTTTAAATCTTAAATAACAAAAGACTTGAAATTACATTGATTCAACTTGAAATGCTCCTGAGTTTAAAGAAAAACCTGAACGTTGTATTGCCTTGACTACACTCTTCTAATTGTTCTTGATTAATGTTTAATTCTTATTTATGTACT